CAACCGCGAAGTTCGAGTGGTCTTTTGTTCTGATAAAACATTTTCTTCCTTTTCGATCAGTTTTAAGGACTCAATTTGGAATCAACAGAAAACTTTCCAGGAAAATCCGATATTTTAAATACTTAGAAGAAAAAATTTTGAGGCATAGTATTGATGATTGGAAGGATAAAACAAAGTGGAAAAGAAAGATATAGGAATGCTATATAATTTCTTCGCTCATTAGAAATCGTTTCTTATTACCGTGAGAAGTTAGGCGCATCTCACTATGAAGGTGGTCACTACCGGTTTCTATCTTCTCATTCGGACTAAAAAAGTTTTGACAGAAAGGTGATGAAGTCATGAAAGTATGAAAATGTAATCTGTAGGTGCATTTTTATGGCACTTTTGAGTACGGTACGGTAAACTGTTTTCTTAAGTTGAAACTGTATCTGTAAAACTACTTTGGAACTGTAAAACTAAAAAAGTTACAAAGTAAAAACTGCCTCGTCTTAGACGAAAACTAATTGGAATTTGCGATCTATTCTGTGACCATATAATTTTCCGTTTGAAAGAATATCGCAAACTCTTTCATGAATTTTACTGTTAAACGGAAGAAAAAATAAAGCTTTTTCTAGGAAGTAAGAATGAAATCAAGTTAAATACGATAACTGAGACTGCTTACCCTTTGTATATTTACACCGCACCTTACAACCTGTCGATAGCAGTAAAACATGGATAGAAGAGGAAGAAAGGTGACATTTCAAAAATCATTTTTTTTTTCGGATGAGCGACACAAAAAACCCTCACCTTTCTTTATTTCTGAATTGTATGGATAATTATCCTTCAGAATCAATTTTGAAAAAGCTTTTCTAGTGCTTTTCGGCAGATTACAGCTTTGAAATTGATCTGAAACGAAAGAAAATGTTTTATCAAAATAATAAGCAGCTTTTTTGATTATACGGTTATTTCGTCGTTAAGCCAATTTCCACCTTCGTACGAGAAACTGGTTGTGGTACAAACTCAGCCCTTCAAAAAGGGGAGAGGAGACACAGCGCGAAAGGTAGATACCTAACTTCAAATTTTCCAATTTTCATGAGCTTATAGAGAGACAAGCGTAAAGTCACTCACTTCGCCAAATTTTTTGACGAATCTATTTTGCACAAAAATAAAAGTATTCCGGTTATATTCAAGCAAAACCTGTATACTTGACTAATTTTGGGCTCTGGGTAGAACACCTTACAAAGTTACCAACCAAAGATGGCCACCATTCTATGACATTAGCCGAATTTTATTAGACCATCGTTTTCAAGCTATGAGACTTGCAAACACTATTGGCATTGTTTTTGAAACTGAAAAAATAAAACTTGTTGGT